ACCCGGCTCTCACGGTTCCGCAAGAAATAGCAGTGCTCAGGTTGTGCGTTAGAGAACTGTGTGTATCTATCTCTTCCGGGTAATTTTACTATACTTACCAACTATATAAAGACAATCTTTCCAAGATTTTTTGGTCGGTTACATTTTTTTTAGCTTTAATGTCATAAAAAAACCATTGCGCAACCACTTGAGGTTCAAGCTCTTGGCGTATAAGATAATTGCCAATAGCAAATGGTGACTTTCTTGGATCGTATTTTATTTGATGGGAAGTAAGCGTTCTTATATCTGAACCGTTTTCTACTTGAGAAGTAATGTTAGGTGCTTCTAAGACACAAATGCCAAACATGCTATTGTTACTTTTTATAAGAACTTTATCTCTGAACTGATATTTCTTGCTTTTAAATACTAGTGGATATTGGATAATAAAATCGAAGCTTGCTGGTGGTCCAATGATAATCCATCCGAGCTTAATTTTAACATCTTTAACTTTTTTGCCTTGTATATGGTGAATTACAATCACTGGACGGTTTTTATCACCGTCCATATAATTCATATGTAGCGAAAATACATTGTTTTCCTCACTTATAATTGATGCAAGAATATTGCACTCGCTAATATTTTTGATTTCCGGCAATTGATGTATATATGGATTCTTATCTTTTTTATATATATTTACGTGAAAAAAAAATTTATCGACTTTGGCTGTTATCAACAAGATTAATAATTAAAATTTTGATTTAAGATATAAATAATTTTACGTGAATAATAAAAACTTTTACCTTCTAAAATTTGATGACCCATGATGCTCGATGCTTTTTTTTTCAATTCTTCGTTTAATAATTCAAAAAGTGAATAAACGTCTTCGTATCCGATTATTTTCCATTTAGCTGCATTATTAAGAGATTGTAACCAAGACTTATTATCATCTACAGAATAGTCTATTTCTGTTCCACCAATAATTGTTTCGTCGTTACTTGTATTGCTAATATAATTGTTATTCATATCTTTATCTCCATGAACAACATTAATTTCAGGCTTAAGAATGCTTGTAATCCCAACTCCACCGTGTGCATTAGTAGTTTTTGCCTTAGATTTTTCAGCTACATAGATGAAATACGTAATTATGTTAAAAAAAAAGTCAACAAGTAGAATCCATACCGGGTAACAAGACAGTGACCTTTTTTTAAACACTATGATTATCATATTAACGTTTAGTAATCATTGC